GAATTTTTTCATTAGGACTTTACCATTCAGATTTATGATTCAAAGTGTTGCTTTTGGAGAGTTGTATCACTCAATGATGTTTTGGTTGGATGGAGAGGAGGTAATGAAAGTGTGATATGCAATGAAATCCTTTACTTTCTGATTCACTCTTTATCGGAGAGCAACGCACATCGTATTGGGCTCATCATGTATGATCTTGATTCAAAATCTTCATGCAAGTCATTGATGGACAATGGTTATGGCACCAAGTCCCCTCGCTTGCTGTCGCCTGATGAATCTTAAAGATCGATTGGTTCTAATTGGGGGAATCAGAGACCCAGAAAAGCCAGATGTGTTGGAAGGAATTTGTGTTTGGGAGCTTCATAGAAAGGAATGGAAGGAGGTTACAAGGATGCCACAGAAGTTTCTCAGCCATTTTGCCAGGTTTGAAGATACTTTTGCTAGTAGTGGAGTTGAGGATCTCATCTTCGTCCATGCCTATGGTAACCCTACTCTATTCATATTTGATATGAGAGACAAGCATTGGAGATTGTCAAAAAACTACCCAACAAAGAAACGATCATATTTAAGAACCTTCGTTGGTTTCTGCTTTGAGCCTAGACTGGAGATCAAGCCCTGAACGATTTAGCATATATGTGCATTCATTATGCATAGAAGTTACCTATTAATATTTTTTTTTCTCTGTTGGAACATATTGTAGTTTTTTTTTCCGTTTATATTCAAATTTCATCAGTTCTTTTGAAATTTAAAATGTAATTGTATTAGCTTCAAAATTAAAAATCATGAATTTAGAAGTGATATAGTTTTTTAAATCTAGCTGTTGGTTGAAAATAGTTGGACATTAATACTGATTTCAAATTCTCACGAAATTTCTTTTATTATTGTAAAAATAACGAGAGGCATTTGCATGCATGCCGCACAATTCTTTTGTTTTTTAATGTCTGACACCTAACTTATGTATTTATATGGGCAACACTGAATTTTTTTAAGATCATATAAAAAAATACTACTATTACTAATTTTTTTAAATATAAATTTTCATGCATTCGTTATTAACCAAAGTGTGATTTTTCTAAACATCAAATTTTAGATGTGGATATGTAAATTGATAGGAATGGTGTGATATGCATGTAAATTTCCCCAACATAAATCATGATTTCATTTACACGCTCCAAAATAATAAAAAATATAATCATCATTTTTTTAACATATTTTCTATTTCTAAGCAACCGAACAAAGTGTTTGATCAATTTCATCAATTTTCAGAATATGTTTTTGTTGAGTGTCTTGAAATTCGCGGCGATGTAGTAGTATTTTAATGTCTTAGCATTGTACAAAGATGCAACACATAAATAAAATTCGCGGCGATGGAGTGGTATTTTAATGTCTTAGCATTGTGTGATGATACAACACACATAAATAAAAGAGAAGCAACAATACTAAAGATACTAGAATTTTTACGTAGAAAAATTATAGAAGAGAACAAACCATGTGGTTCAGCCTGATCAAACTTATTCACTATGAGTGCATGGGTGCTCCCTTCTCTTGCAACAAGAAGATCGGGGTGATAATTTTTACCACAAAAAATTACATTTATGTACAACACAAATAAAATATAGTTGTTAGACAAAACAACTGTATTTTGACTAAAAAGTTGCAAGCAAGGGTCGGTGGTGCCCGGTTGTCAGCGACGACAGTTAGTGATAATCTGCACTGGTTGATAGTGGTCATGCACGGGCGTTGAAAATCGGTGGTCGGCGAAAAGTGCGTCAACCTAGTATCTAGGTGAGGGGTAAGTCTAAATATAGTATGACTTTGACGGGGTCTTCATATCGGCCCCATCCTACATATCTGAAGGAACTAAAGGGTGTCACGAAGAGCGGCAACACAAGTTAGATCTAATAGATCTTTAGCATAGTCATACTCAAGTCAATACCGATGACTTAACTCACATTGCTCATTGGGATCAACCCAACAAGCAATGCTCGTTAAGGTATCGCGTATCGCGACCAACACGGGGTCACACTCTCTTAACGAACCTGGCTCGCTATCTATGCAAACATGCTAATGCAAATGCTAATGCAAGCAAATAAAAACATATAAGTAGTGATAAAGAGTATGCCATGAAGACATTGACTTGAAGGAATGGATTGACTTGAAGGAATGGACTTGAAGGAATGGACATGTCGTAGCGGCAGGGGCCCGCAAAGAGGATATGCCAGTAAGGCAATGACCCGAAGGTGAGCATGCCGTGGCGGCAGTGGCCCGAAAAGAGGGTATACCAGCAAGGCAGTGACCCAGATGTAGGCATGTCGTAGCGGCAGGGGTCCGAAAAGAGGGTATACCGGTAAAGCAGTGACCCGAAAGAATGCAACTCAAGTAGATGATATCGATTATGCTGACAAACATGTACATGCACATACACAACATGCGAAGGAGCAAGTGTTCGGTTGATCGGGATGGAGTATCCGGTCAAACCAAAGTGTTGTGCCAACTGGGTCGGGGTAGTCGACTGAAACACAAGTGACGTGACTGGTTCGGAATAACCGACCGAGACATAAGCAGTGTCGGTGCAGGTGCAAGTGCAAGTGCGATATATGACATACAATTTGTAATGCAAGGTGCAAGCAAGACATGCACATGCAATGAGGTGCATATGACCACATATGATAGCGAGTCACGCTGGTACTAACGACCTCACATGAGAAACCTAAGGTTTAGACTCTTCGATACGGCACCGCCGCCTCTTACTTTGGTGAGGAAATGTGAGGAGTTTCTCCCCGGATCTCCAAGGGGAAACTCTTTATGGTGTCACGAACTAGGATAACTACAATTTTTTTCCCATTTTATGAACTCCTCCAGACTTTGCAAAGCGAGACAACTACAAAGCTTCCCAACTTTTCCAAGTAAAGCTGGGGAACCCAAAGCAAGGGGAGTGAGGGACTCCGACCCATCGACACTTGTGCTAAGGCTCATAACAAAAGGGAGACACTCGGCTCTATGGGGGGTGTTTGGGG